ATTTCCTAGTCAAAGACTGTGAAGCTATTTAAAGTTGGCCTAATCTCACAGCTACATCCCTGTATGAAGTTGGTTCCAAATATGCGCTCTTCCTTGCTGTCACTTTCCAACACATCATAAAGTGTAGTGAAGTTTCCCACTGTAAGGATAACTTCTACTTTTCCTCTTTCTGAAAACTTGTATCCACTTGCTGTTTGCATCATTCCTTCTTTTTTCATACATGGAGGCAGTTCCAAACTTTCATTATCAAATTGGGTCAAAGTATTGTAGCTGTAGAACTAGTGCTGGTCAACATATTGAAATACTTCGCGTCAATATGTTTTATAGATAATTCTCATGATTCTCTAATATTTCAGTTCAAACAACTGAACAGTTTCTGGCCAAACTGTGTTTTTCTATAAGTGTAGCATGAGTCTATCCATTACTCTTTCCATAAAATCAAATGTTTCAATCTTAAAACTGAAACATTCTCTCACTGGCATTAACGAAAATATCAAATGTGCTGTTTCTTCAAATAATACTTCACAAATCACTAACAACAATTATCTTCATATCTTGAGAGGTTGTAGTCTCATACAAATGTTGCTTATTAGTTGTATTTGAAACAAGTGATTCGCTTTGTGTTATACAACACTCATGATTAACTTCGGGTAAAATTTCATATATGCATGCAGTTGCTCTCTCTCTCATACACACACACACACATATATATATATATATATATATATATATGTATACACACAAGCCTATACTGTTAAAGTTTCAAATTTCCACAAACACTAGTAGTATTTGAAAGACTGCCTCCTGCATATGTGTCATTACCATAGTAACCAATAACATGCCATCCACTGTGAGTGGTGAAACTCAACAATGTTTCATAGGCCTCACAAAATAAATAATTACTGGTAGAATTTATCTGAACACAGACTTTCTCGTCGCCAGAAGTAATGTTCGTCTTGTCACTACTTTTCATATCAATATGCACACAAACCAACTTTTGTTAAATATGATTGGCCACAGAAAACTTGCATTTACTGTTTGGAATGGATGCCAACTGTGAACTTGATCCACTTGTGTAAGCTGGCATCAGAGAAAGTATCAATTGGTAACCTCAGTAAGACGTATTCAATCAAAATTCACAGCATGCAATCCACTCTGCACTATAAAGAACACATCTCCCTCACTGCACAGTTTCTCTTGAGCATCATGTAGTCTGTTCTGAAGAATTGCCACTACTCAGATCAGGGTGAGCATTTCTTGTGAAATGTCAGACACCATTTTGTTTTTAAAAAACAATTAATATATTTTAGAAAACAAAGGTAAAGCCTATTCAGTCATTGTTGGTTTCTTGACCATTTGACTATTCTTGCTTGGGTTAATGAACTGGTCATCACAAAAATTCCATCCATGCATTATGTCACAATAAAACACCTAAAGGCAAGGGACACAAGATCCTTTCAGTCAGTCATTGGTTTCTTTACCGAACTATCTCAGCTATTGATAATCAAGTGGAAGTCACACAATGTAGAGCATACACTGTATAGTGAGCATCACTTGACAGCTTAAAAAGTAAGGTTTGCCACTTCATTCAAGTCGGTGATTGTGCAATCAGTGACTCTCCTAACCTCTAATCTGACAGTTAATCTCAGCTACAACAATCACTAGTTTTCCTACACCTCTTCCTATGACTCGTCAAACACAGCCAGGTAAGTACTCTCAGCTTCCTCCTCATTATCAACTGAGCTGAGATGCTTCACAACAGTAACTTCATCTTTCTCTGCCTATCTGTCCTGAACTCTGATTCCTGATCTAACCAGTGCATAAGAGGTTAACTGGTAATGGGGTTCAGGCTTATCTACATACTGGATGCACTTGCCCCATGAATAATGGATCTCATGTCAATAAACCAACATGTCAGAGCAGTAAGTATAGACTTCACTTGTCTAACTGGAGCAAGTGTCTTCCATGTATCACAGACAAAACCAATGTTGGAAAGTTCTTTCCTTAGTTTTTGTTGTAGTATCTCTTCTGCTATATAAACTCATGAGCACCTGTGAATGAAGTTCTTAGCCACCCCATACAGACTTGTAGCTCTTCTGTGCTAGGTGGTGAACTGTAAATTACATCTACAGGAAGCGTCATTTAGCCACATAATATTAGACGATCATCCAGTCAACTTCTGTTCAATGGCATATGTTATCATGACAAATGGCAAGTGTTGGTCCCAGTCAATTCGACTGGGATTAACAAGCTTTGCAAGTGTATGCTTGACAGTTTATATTATACACACTACCAGGACATACAAAGGCTTAAAAACAATACAGTACTTCAAAATGGATCAATAAAATACATTATGTAAATTGGATCAAGAAAAAGAGTAACATTTTCTAGTGAATACATACAAATGTTTAAACAGTACAATATTTTAAAACAGTATTATAAAGCTAACTGGACAAAAGCAAAGAAACAACTCAGTAATTTTCATGCTGGTTTAGAAAAAGATGGAATATTGATATGGGAAGAAAAAAAGTTGCCTACTGTATGTACAAAATAAATATTTATGGAGGAAATTACTTATCATACAAGCAACTGATGTCACAGTGAAAATACTGTGTATGCAAACCTGTAATCCCTATTTAGTTTAATTTTTGTATCTTTGAAGTAGCTAATACACTAACCACATCTAAAATGCATTAATAACAAAATGTGAAATGGAATAATGATATAAGAATCATTTCAAATAAATGAGACCAAGCCAAGCATTTTACTTACAGCAGAAGCCATAGATGTATTCAAAAGCTAACATATGTGAGCAGCAAACCCTTAAACAATTTTCCTGTTTGAGAACCCCCCCCCCCCCAATTTTTTGAGTTCAGTGATGGAAGAAGACTCCCACAAATGTAACTGGGTTAAGAGCCATATTATTTCTTTGCTATGTAAAGATTATTAAGGCATATAATCGATTCATTTCTTTTATAATATGCACATTTTCTTTCACTTACACTGAAATTCATTTTTTATATACAATATTATTCTAAGTTGTATGTGCGAGTGACCTACATTGTGAATTTCTTTTAAAACAAACCTTTTAAAGTTTTTGGATTTTGTTATAATCTGTGTAACTAAGTATTAGGTATTACTAAGAATATATATTTTTTTAATACTGTAAAGATTGTTTATAAAAAGTTTATGTAAAAATGTGAATTTTTTAACATTAGGCATGTAACAAACTAGTTATGATGAATCAGACTATATTTAGCCATATCTTATGTATAAAAACATGCAATTGAAAAAATAAAATGTCAGTAGTATGTGTATGAAGTGTTAAAAGTAACCTGGGTATTAACTAACATTTATTTTGTTTATTGCACACTAGGAAGTAACTATCAAGAAATTAGTGGAAATATTTTCAAATTAAGAGATTTAGTAATTGGATTAGAATGATCAGAGATAGTTGTAATCTGTTTTATATTATATGCAACTGAAACCAGACTAGTTCACATGAAATAAAATTCAAAAGGAAAAAAACTTTGTTAAAATCCAGTTAGTAACTTTCAATAAAAGGAGAAATGAAATGTTTGTACTTTCAAGTAAATTCAGTTGTTAATTAAGTTCGCTTAAAGTTTAAAAGAACAATACCTGTTTATCACACACAGTATTCCTTTACTAGTTTACAATGGAAGAATTGATATGAGATGACTAGACTAAGAAGTCATGACTCAATTAATGTTCACTAATCAGACTAAGCATGAATATGTGCAAAGCCATCAGCATTTGTATTAAGCAAGCTGCCATAAATATGAATCCAAATCTTGATTCTTCTGTAAGCTTACACTTCATGAACTCTTAAGGATCTTTAGCATTATAAATTAAAGTTCTAATACTGAAATATATTTAGTTGAAAATAGTAAGTTGAATGTATGTACAAGTTAAAGCCCATCAAAATTAACCAAGTTTTTGTTGAATTTCACACAAAAATACCCAAGGATTACCTGCACTGGTGGCTGGTGCTGCTAGCTATCTGACTTTTAAAATTGGTGAAAGTAGCAGGTAGCTTTGCCGTAACAAGAGTGAGCATGTTTGGTGGCAAGAAATGGAATCAAGCCCAAAACCCTTGAATCACTAAATATTTTTATTAAAAATTTTAAGCAAATTATAAAACAAATTTTATTCTACAAATCAGTGAGTAAATACAAAAGATTTACCCCCCCATCATAAAAAGTAATTGGGCCCCCCTACATACATTTCCCTATAATTGTAGTTACAATTCTGGCCGATTGATATCATTAACTGAAAATTCAAAATTCAACCAAACTTAAATTGTATCTAGTTTATTTTTGAATTACACATATCAAATTTTGGGCCACTCATGTTAAGCATTGGTGAAAAGTGAAGTACGTAGTAGTACGCATGGTATAACTATATTTCCACCATGATAGTACAGACCACTAACTGAGGCAGTCAGTGTATGTACTCAGTTTACTCTGTCCTTCCTCGAAATGCTTTTACTATAATAGAATAGCACATCCACCCTTTAGTTAAAATAAATTAAATTGTATGTCTCCCCTTGCTGAAGATTAAGTTTGCCAGGCATTTTGGCCTGGGCTCCCCCACAATTGTGGGAACATATTTATGCCATTGTTGCAAATATAACCATGATTTCCAACATGTGCATGAAACAATCATTTAAACAAAAAACCACCTCAAAAGTTGAAGTTCATAATGGTAAAAAAAAAATCCCCAAATATATTGACAACACTGCTTGTTTGTTAAAGATACGTAATAGAATGTTGAGATGTAAAAAGAAACAAAGTAAATTATTTTGAAATTGTGATGTTTAAAAAAACTTTGGGAAATGGAAAAACTTCAGTGACTGTAGGAAATCTGCTGCTTTAGTTTAATGGGTGATTTGTCAGAGTAAGAAATGTATAGTTTGAGCATCGTAATTTATTCTTGTTATTTAGCAGAAAAAGATAAACGAAATAAATAAAAGACTGAAAATCAACAGAACTAAACTTTATTTTGCCAATTGTTTGTTTTAGGCAATGAATTCATAAGGGACAGGTTCTAGTAATTCAGGTTCATTGTTCTTTGTATAGACCACATGGGCTTCTCTTGGTTGGGCTGCCTGAAAATTGAAATTAACCAGTTTCCATAAAATATACAATAATGGCTGATAACAAACAAAATGAAAATTTGGAAAAACCTTTAAAAGAAAAACATCTATATCATGTATATAAGGAATACAAGTTATATTACATTCCTACATTTGTAATAACAATTACTGAACTAAAAGCAATACCGGGCAGTTGGTTATTTGGCATTTATTGTCACAAATGCAATATTGAAAAACTTTTGCAGTCATGTTAAGTGCTTCTAGTATATTTATTCACAGCCAAAATTCCTAGCCTCTTTGCTTGTGCAGTAAAGCATAAATTACAGTTTCCATCCTTATGTCTTCTTATCATCTAACAATGTAAATTGTAGCTAGTGTTTATTTTTGAATTACATACATCAAGTTTTGGGTCTGTCAGGTTATGCAAATAAAACATTACAAGAAGCCTACTACTTAAGCTTAGTTCCCAGGTAAACAAAGTTTCCATAACATAAACTGAAAGATTCAAGTTTCCAGTTATCTGACAGGTAAACATGTTAGCTCTTTCAGCATGGGCTCAGTACCTGGGACCGACCTTGTAACCATTTTGTGTTTGTTATAGTTTTCATGCTCTAACTTTTAAAATTAGTAAGCAAATGTTAACGAAATTTGGCAAAATATCACTAAACATTACACTGCTTTCATATGCAAAATATAAATTTTTTATGAAGTCTTGAGGTTTGTAGAGAATATTTTTCTCATGCCTCTTTCTTTTCACATGTTGCCTATCTATCACACAAAGTAATTTTCATTTTAAGATTCAAAATACTTTTATGCATCAGAAAATTTTCAAATTACACATGCAATCTTTATAATGTCCAGATAGTTATCAATCATTTCTTAAGAAGAAAACTATATTTTATCTGTTATTTTCAGTATTTACTTCAGTAATGTATATTTCTAAAATTTGCATTTAATCTATAGTTTGATACCAAATGTACTGACATAAGTTCATGAAATAGTAGTTCAATAAAATTCTGAATGCAAGTCAACAAACGAGATGACATGGTCTTTCACCCATGACCCGTCTTGAAAGGGTTAATGAACATATGTTAGGAATAGTTTTTAAACTCTCATATAATGCTAGCAAAAAGTCAAGTCTCTCAGACTTGCAAGTTATAAAAATGATTAACTGAATAAGTTTAATAATAAATTCAATAGCAATGTCTGCTTCTACACAGTTTACTACAATATTCAGTTACTGATTCAACAAATATATACATCTGAAACTTGTATTATATCATTAACTAATGAAAGGTACATTTTGCAACATGTATAGTGAAAATATTCCATCACAAAATATAATAATGATATACCAAAAACTTAGACATGCAGATGCAAGGTACAGTAAAAATTTAAAAACTGTAACCAAGACCCACAGTAGTGTGTCATGAGGCCAAAACAACCTGCAAGACAGTGTGTTAACAACAGGAGAAACAGTTTAGCAATTTTTCACTTTTTCTAACTCAGGCTGTGATAATTCAAACTATCACACATTTTCAGTGGATGTGCTCTGCTGGACACTTACTTCACATACCAAATTTCAAGGCAACCTATCAAAAATTACACAAGATATAAAATCTCCTATTGTGATTGAATTTCTACCCCCCCCCCCCCCCCCATCTTTGATAGAAAAACACACTTAACTTTCATGGATTTGTTTCTAATTTGGTACAACAATAGATGTTTACAACCTACAGTTAGATTTATATATAAGCCACATGTGCAAAGTTATTCAACAAAAACTTCTCAATTTTGGCCAAACTTTTTGTGCATGCCTATGCAAATATCACGTGACTTACAGGTCTGAAGTTTTTACTACAGTTTCACCTAAGAGTAAAGGTGACCAGTTTTCAGTTTTTGTCATTCAGATTAAAGCATGAACACTATAGGGTTAAAATTATATGCTGATACATAGGTATTTGTTAGAACAAGCAAACTAGATTAGCAGTTTCTAGCTCAAGTTTTCAAAACAATCATACAGGTGGATGATTATTATTCCTTGCCAACTTTTAAGCACGTGAAATTAGCTTAAGCAATTAGCATAAATAATGTTGTTTGATAAGGATATACCAAGAGCATTCGGGTGATCACAAGAAACTGTTAACCCTTTCGAGATGGGTCACAGGTGAAAGGCCATTTCATCTCGTTTGGTGACTTACATTGAAAATTTTATTGAACTACTATTTCATGAATTTATGTCAGTAAGTATGGTATCAAACTGTAGATTATAATTCAAATCTTAGTATTATACATTACTTAATTTGAAAGTAAATATTAAAAACATTGATTTTTATTTGTGTTGTGTGGTATATTAAATGCAGCACTGGTT